ATTGTAAAGCCGCTACATAACCAAGGTTACTTGGCATAGTCGTTTCCGTAACCATGTGACCCATATAGCGAGGTGACCAAAATGGAACCGTTCTTTCATTAAGTTTTTCTAAGAGTTTATTGAGTTGGCTTCTGAGATACTCTGTGTTATTTTTAAACTCTTCAGAATTCTGCATCTGTGTGGTAATGAAATTTGGATCCGCAGAGTCAAAATACAACTTTCTTCCTTCTGCCTGTAGATCTATTACATTGTTGTAAAACTCTTTAACAAATTCTTTATTTTCTGCACGCGGACCGAAAAACCAAGAAGCAATCATGTTATTTACATGATGAAAGTGGTCGCTTGTTTCTTTTGTCATATCTATAATTTATTTCTATTAGTTTTACGTATTTAGAAAAGTGAATCCCATCGTGAATTAAATATTATTTATATAATTTTGTAGTTACTATATAAATTATTAAATTATTAACTTGAATCTTTAGCATATAAGTTGAATGTTCTATGTAAGTGCGTGGTATATATTCATATGGATCTTCGTATTAACCGACTATTTTGAGATAATCTAAAATCCAATCCTCACCTAATATTACCTATTCATAAATTCAAAACAGCTATATAATTTTTATATATGCTCACCTATACTATAGATCAACCACGCAGGTGATAGTCAAAATAACCAATAATGCACGCAAATAAATTCATAAATTTAATTTACTTTGAGATGAATTATTCCTCTTTTTTACTAGTGCATATAAAAAATAAAATAAAATGAATTCTCACAAGCACTTCCTTCGTGTAGCACAGGTCAAATAAATAAATAACAGGTAAATAACGGAACACAAAATTCACCATAGATCCGCCAAATAATTGTATATTATATAGTAGTGTATCAGGTAACTAATAATAGTAAGATATAGGCATGGGTACATATAGCGGTAAAGTATCAGTAATCCCGATATTTTACTCTTAAATATATGAGTGGGACATTGGTATTACCAGTCTACTAATATGCTACAGTTATTTGGCGGATCTATAGGGTGCATATCAGGAATTTTGTATCCCGTTATTTACCCGTTACTTATTCGTTCAATCTGTGTAGTTTTAATAACTACCGTAAATGGTCACATACGATATCTCGGGCGGTAAATTAAAACCTCTGATGGGCATACACATATCAGATATAAATAAATAAAATAAAATAAACTGTCATAAGCACTTCCCTCATGTGGTTTTAATAACTGTCATGGATCATAATGAAATCGGATTAAAATGAGGGGTTTTATTTGACACACTAAAACCCACTTATACCTGTTTATTATAGATTCTACCCTAAACTTTAACCCTAACCCTAAAAATGCCAAAAAAAAATGCACTCCAAAATTTGTTGTTTGTCTATTTTTACATTATTACTCACTTCATTTAATCCGTCACAAGAATTATTGGATTTTTTGAAGTATGTTTGCTCTAATCTCTATATAATTAAAGAAAAGGCCTTATCTTTCTTTAAAAAGAACCTAATAACTATAATTTTATTAGTATTCCAGTAAAATACCGTAACAGTAATTAGAACGACTTTTTCGTCATGGTTTCGCCTTACAACAAAATTTGTACGCTCTTATTATTATTAGTGATGATCGACAAAATAAGTTTATTAACGTTAAGGTAAACTATGGCTCCGGAAGGTTTGTAAAAATAGGTAAATGTGACGAAATCAGATTAAAATGAAGTGAATAATAGTGTCAAAATAGACAAACCACCGAAAAATACAAATTTTGGAAGTGTTTTTTTTTTTTTTTTGCCATTTTTAGGGTTAGGGTTAAGGTTTAGGGGTAGAATTTATAATAAACAGGTATACAAGTGGGTTTTAGTGTGTCAAATAGAAACCCCTCATGTCATTTCATTATGATCTACGACAATTAGTATCACATAGTTTCGGCAATAAGAATAAAGACAACCGAAACTATTGATATACTAATTGTCACATGGTTTGGGACATCCCAAATACTTGGTCGCATCACTAATACTAGGAATGCTTGCCGGCAAAACCCGGACAAATCCCAAATTCCAAAAGAACAATTGCTATTTACAAAAGATTAAATCAAACAAGTAATCTAAATATTTTACAACGATCATAAGTAATGGAGCAAAAAAAAATTTTACTTAGATCACGTTATTTCGAGCAATTCTAGGCGTATCCTTTGCAAAAATACGTTCCTGATAGATCGTCGGTACTTTTCTTGATGGGATGAAAAAAAAATCGATTTACGTACCGTTCCTAATAGGGCTCTTGAAAACTAAACTACTGCAGAAATATAAGCCTATTGCATGAAAATTTGACAGTCCACTATTACTGCCCAACCAAATTATAAGATCAACGCATAGCATAAAATTCAAAAAAAAAAAAACGGGATTCAGTATTCAATTATTTTTCAACCCAAATATTCTTACCGAATTCGCGCGAAATAAAGCCCATGGGCATTATTTTTAGACATGTAATTTAAAGAGAGCTAATATTTAATTTAGCAGAATACAATCATAATTTTAATGTTAATAATTCTTTGCTAAATTAATTGTTAGCTCTCTTCAAATTACGTAGTTTTTCGAATAGACACGGTACTGTATTAATTTAAGACCAATATTTAAGCAAGTTGAAATCTATGTTGCGAATAATCACGGGTCATGATTTAGCATTCGCATTATAACTAAGCATCGTCATGAGAATTAACTTCGGGGTTCCTTTAAGAACCCTATCAGGAACGGTACGTAGATCGACTTTTTTTTTCACCCATCAGGAACAGTACCGACGATCTATCAGGAACGGTATTTTTGCGGCGCCGAGACTATAATTTATTAGAGCTAAACCGCCGATTCTAATTGGTTAGAATCACCAAGTTTCATAGAAATAACTTTTAAAGAAAAAATATACACTTTATAACCTTCTATTTATTTCTGGTTTAACTAGCTGTTTAACTATTTATATATATCTATATTTTGTACGTTCTTTCTAATTTAGATACATAACTATATATGCATTTAATTATTATCATCTAATTTGGTTAAGGTATCATATTGAGATACTTAATAAATTTTAATATGTAATACAAACATTCTAATACAAATATTAAATGCTAGCCCTTAAAAGCTGTTAGAATGGTTTTATAATATAGCCCTTTAAATAATACCCGGATACATTGCAAAAAAAAAAAAAACTCAAAAAAATTGTATACGACCCAGGTATTAAAATCCAAAGTAATAAGATTTGATAGATTAATTAAAAATTGATTCAATAACAAAGCTTAATAACATTTTTAATAATTTCATCATATATTTGGCTGAACAAGTATTATAAACATGAAATATGCTTTTTATTATTACATTGCTTATACTAAATTGCAATTATTTACATTCTTATTTATTAGTTCACAAATCATGCAATTACTAGTTATGATTGATGAATTTTAATATCATTAAACATAAGGTGAGTGTGGGCATTATGGCGAATGTGGGTATTGTGACGAATTGAACATATTACAAGGAAACATGATTTTTTACTAAACAAATTGAAGCTCATCCACTAGGTTATTGGAGATGCCGTTTTTTAGATATCTTCAAATTTTGAAGCGATTTGGTTAACTTTTAATTAGTCAAGTTTCACATTATATTTCCTGGTGCGGAAAATTTATGTTCTGCGCCGAAACGTATAATGTGTAAGTCAATTAATGAAAAGTTAACCGAATCGTTTCAAAATTTAAGGTATCTAAAAAACAGCGTTTCCAATAGCTTTACTTAGTGGATGAAATTTCGATACGCTTATGTAAACCGATTATTAGCAAAAAAAATCGTATTATGATTGTCAATTTGCATATCGTTCACCATAATACCCTCACGAAATTAAAACCGTAGCCCTCTAAGTAACATTACATAATTTATATCGATTTTTTTTTTATATAACTATTTTATAGTGATTTAATTATGATTGATAGTATTTCTAATTATAATATGAATTAGACTTCCCGAGCATAATACCCCAAGTCACAATACCCCAAGCAATAATACCCACTATTTGTTGAGTACATTGCCATGTATAATACCTTTTATTTTTGATAAGACCTGGATACTAAAGGCAGTGCGGTACGGTATTTAAAATAAGTCATTTCTTTAAATTTATACTAAATTAGTCTGTAAGTATAGACAAAATATGACAAAAAAATTTTTATTGCTCTTTAAGTTATTCTATCTCGGTAAGATTATAAGTCACTTATTTAGGTTAATTTAACCGGAAAGTATAAAATAATTTGTTAATCAAAGTATTCAAAAGCAATGTATGCACTTCTTATTAGTTTTTAGTTTATCGTCCGTGCTGATTTGGTTGATAAACAATCTTTTATTCAAGTTGATTCAGTCATTATTATTTATTAATGAAATAATCTATGTATCTATTATTTAATTTCTTATTCATGCTGATTTATGACTCTAATAACTTGATTTTCTGAAAATTTATATTCAAAATATTGATTATAAATTTTAGTCTCAAAGTTGTATGGTGACTTGCAAAGCGCATCTGCTAAATGCTTTTCCACCAATCCGGTCTTTAATTTATAATGAAAAAAAAAAGAATAAAAACAATATGTGAATTATAATATGTCAAATCACTAGAAGTATTCGAATATTCAATAAAAATTATCCGGATATTAATTTAATTTTTAACCAATATGGATATTAAAAAAGTTAGATTAATAAATATCCAGACGGTTAGTTTTAACTGGATCAGATCATATCTCAAAGATTCAATTCTTTCTACAAATTGCATCGATTAATGCATTTCATTCTTCTAATCTGTGTTCATATTATAAGACTCGAAGAAGCCAGAAAAGTGTTCTTGTAAGCGCATCTATCAATGCTTTTTTCTTCTCTTGCTCTTGCAAGATATACTTGCTAAGACCTTTTCACCTTCCGATTCAAGTTTATTAGAACATGAGTCAGCATGGTGTTCTTTTTTCTATTTCAAAATATCAGCATTAAGCATGCTCTATTCTGATTGGTCAGCCTAAATACTGCGCCTCATAAATTTTGAATTCTTCTTCCGGACTCAATGACTCGGCCGGGTTATGGGAACCAAAAAATAACTTTGCCTGGCCTTATAGATTTTTGATAATAATTTTAAACGATTTTGATTGGTTAATAGTTTGTCATGTGACTATATAAAGGCACGCATGCCGATTTTTTACCCGTGACTCAACCCTAATTATAGCTCATCTTAATTCTATAAGTTGTTCAGACTTCTGATACCGGAAAATCACGTGGTCGGAAAATTGACCTATACCCAGTGTGAGCCCCGGAATCCGACCCATCTATTGCGGCTCAGTATGACCCAAGATCACGGGGTCAAGTGCAATTTGTTGCATTTCTTGCATTTATCAAATTTATTGCATTTATGGCATTTGTGGAATTTGTTAGATAAACTAGCTTAAGGCATAAATTAGATTTAAGGCATTTATGCTATTTCTTATAATACTGAATCTTTTATTATAAATAAAGGCCGTGAAGGGTCTTGGAAAATAAGTTTCGTGCTGCTTACAATTATCGTTCCCAAAAACAAAGTACATACTTGACCCATAAACCCCTTAAAATCTTAAATAAACACGCTTTAATAAATAACCCAAACCCAGATCTATCACTAAGTGGCATAGTGAAAGGTCATCATTCGCATAATTGCCTTGATCACGTGACTTCGTAAACGACGTACCGAGGAATGCCGTGGTTTTCTAACACTCCCAACATACCGTGGATTGTTGTGGTTGTTTTATTCCGGTTTGAGGTCCAAGAGGAAGGTCCAAGTCGTGACTTTGTTGCATTGATAAGTGAAAGTATAAGTGTTAGTGGTATTATTAAGTTCCCGTTATACATCAAAAGGAGCTATACCTACGACCAAAATCTCCACTCGCCAAATATAACCGCCTCTTTCGACTAAGCCGATCGTAGGTTACATGACGTCCCGGACTGTGAAGCGACTTACTCGCCGTTTTCCAGGTTTCACCAGTCAATTTCATCCCTAACCGATCCTGGCAGATCCTTTCAAGGACTCGGTCCTTAAGGCCGTTCGAAGTTAATTCCTCAGTTAACATCACCTTTAGAACTCTTGGGAGAGGGGGGAGGAAGGGTAAAATGAAACGAACATATAAAAATGGGCAATTTCATTGGTCGACGTAAGTCAAGTAATTGGCGAGAGTAATCCAACGTTTTGATTGGTTGTTCGTTTATCGGTGGGAGACTTCAGCGGGGGTGATGATGTTAACCGAAGAATCAACTTCGAACGGCATAAATTACACGAAACATAATACATTTATATAGGATTAGATTCTGAATCGAATTGTTTAAAAATACAGAATTAAAAAAATCATTAGATGACTTATTCGGAGGACACATTTCAGGATCTAAATGTATTATATTTCATGTGATTTAAGGATTTGAGTTCGGGGCAAAGGCTCGAAGTTATTTAACTATAGTTGATAGTTGATCTTTACGTATTGTAAGTACCTTAAATAATATAAAAAAAAATTGGTGAATTGTGTAACATGTATTAAAGTCATAGGTCACTGCTGAAAACATATGCCGCCCTGCAAGTTCATTCATAATTTTTTAATAACCATATATGTAAGTATCTTTTTTTATCTGCGTTTAAAAATTAACGTGAAGGGAATATAAACATACAGGAATTCGGGAAGACCGGGAAAATCTTGTTTGAACTATGTTATTATTAACCTTATTTTATAATAGCACGTATATATATCACAAATATAATTGCAGTTATTGCAGTATTGTGTAAATGAAAAAATACTTCGATGCTGCCAAAAGGAAATATAACTGTAAATAGAATTATGAATTGAATATTATGAATAATGATGCAGTAGAACCGTCCTAAAGAATTTTTTGAGGTACGACAAGATAGGGTTACAGTTACAGCAAAATCGAATGTATGGGTTCCATTGTATCGTAATAATAATTAGTTAGCAACTTTAATCAATAACGCAACTTTAATTCATAACGTAACTTTCATTTAAACTATGTGTCATAAAGTATTATAAAATTTACTTGTTATACAAGTTTCTTTATTAACAAGATCTTTAAATAATAACATATGGGCGGATTGTGCTCATTTTGTGATATCTAAATATGATCACGTTGCAATAAGATAGTCTAATTGTGATTATGTATCAGTATTTAGCATATTTTAATCTAACGCTAATCAATTTGATATGATTAAGTAAGCTGAAATTAGTATTATTACATCACTTATTTTAATGTGATCAATTTTAATATCACAAAATGCACTGGACATATTTTAACTAAATAATAACCAGTTATTTCTAGTACAAATGATAACTTATTTACTATATAATTACTAGATATTTTTATAGTTTAATCTATTTTTAGCTAATATGCTTAAATACATATATTACCTAGTAATAATATAGTAAATAAGTTATTATATGTACTAGAAATAACTAGTTATTATTTAGTTAAAATATGATTTTTTAACCAGTGATGAGCACGATCCGCTCATATGATTAGATACGCTTAAGGATGCTACAAATCAAAATAAATTTATCGATACTGGCGACATTAAACAAGAAACACTTCTTTATTATCTGAATCTATAATACAGTAATGTTGATCGGTTCTTTATACATGATTAGATGAAATAAACAATGATAATTTATAATGGAAAAAATTATCAATCTTTCAAATCCAGCTTTATTGATAATAGTAATTAATTTATTGAAAAGAAAAGTTTAATAGCTCGAGTTTTTAATTATTTAACGTATATTTTATATATGTATTTATGTATGTAAATATAATGACATAATAAAATTTATAGCATATACGTGAGTTACGGCATATAAAGTTACAATACATAAAATATTCACGACATAACTTAACAATACGGCTCATGAACATTTTACAATATATAGTGACTTAAAATAAAAAGTTATAACTTAGTTACGAGCGGCATATCCCAATGCTTTGAGTTCACTAGCCATGAACTTCTATTTTCTGTCGAAAGCCTTCGCGAGTTAAAAAAGAACCATATGATTTTGATAAACAAGCAGCACGGCCGTTTCATTTACTCAAAAAAGTCTTTTTGTCCCATTTAATTTTATTTATGTTGTACAAATGAAGAGCCAGAAAATAATACGTCCGAAAGTTGTACGTTTTGTAGAGGAACTGTTTGAGTTTCCGTGCGTTGTATTTCAGCGAAGGGGTTGGCACCATTGATTAAATGTGCGGCTATAGCATTAATAGGAAGGTCTATATGCGCTGTAGTATTTTGGGATATTGAAGGCTGAGCGCCAGTAGCTTGATTTGTAAGATTATTCATTATGAAGGTTTGTTTTTCAATATTTTCAGTGAAGAGATATATTTGCTACAAACTCTTGAGATTTGATAGAGGTTTTATTGATTTTTAAGTCTGGATGGGAATTTTGGTGATTTTATTATGTTATTCGTTTAACTATTACAATTGACGTTTTTAAACATCTTAAATAAATTTTTATTTCGAATAATCCTACATCAATCAATACCTGCACACTGACGTTAACTGACTGTAATTGTTGTATATTCTTCTTTCAATTATTGATACTTTTGCCTTTCATATGTAATAAACTGTTAATTCAACAGATAAACCTGTCAACTTGACGATAAACAGGTTTGAAAATATTTCATATTATATGTATACGTATTGACCGAACGGATGATAATTGAAGCCATTGTGATAATTCAAGTGTGAATCTTGTTCAAGAAAGGTACGTACTATGATTGTTTAAGTTAATACTTATATATATATTTTTATTTTATTTTTTTGTTTTATTAAACGTCATTATTTATGGTGTCAGGCTCGCGGGGTAAGCACAAAAATATTAATATGGGGTAACTACGTAATTTATATATACTTAGTAAACAATACCTAAACTACCTTTAAAATTTTAGCTATGTTACAGTGAACGTACATACATGCGTATGTTAGAGGGTTTGATCGGACAATTACAGCTGTTTTCATAAATTCCGAACAACTGAATAAATGTCGATGACCGAATCGAGTTTGACCGAAGTCGGTTACTTATTGATCCGACTCGGTTACTTATCGATTCGGTCATCGGCAATTTTTTAAGTTGTTCCAAAATTTATGAAAACAGCTGTAAAAAAAAATTATTGATAACCGAATCGATAAGTTTTTGAAATCGGTAAATTATCAATTATGAGTCAGTAAATTATCGACTCTGCTATCAGAAAAATTTTTTTTTTTTTAGTTGTCCCAGGAATAATGAAAATAGCTATAGACTGAGACTGAACCTTTTTTTGTCCTCGATCCTCTCGATCTTGGACGGTTCAAATTGGTTCTTATTAGGACTGGGACTGGACTGGACCAGACCAATCTAACTCTACCAAGCTAAAACATAATTTCCAGTTGTAATATAGTGTATATTGTTGTATTATAAAAATTTAGGAAATAGCCAGAGCAAGGCGGGCACTCAATTCTGGGATCGGTTCGCCATGACAAATCAAATAGCAGCATATATATTCTATTCAATTTTCTAATCCTATTTTTTAATTTTATTGGTCGTTCCGGAAACTGCGTCTTCAAAAAATGTTTATCGGTTTAAAGAGGAAAATCATTATTATATTTGTAGTATACCTTGAATGCATGATTTTTTTTCAACTCAAAAAATATTCATCTAAAATAAATTTTTTGTAGAAACAAATTTTAAATTTTAAACTAGTATTTTGAAATACGGAGTACTTTGAACAATAGCAATAACCATCATATTATTATTACTAAATTGCAAAAACAACAAAAATGAAAAAGGATAATGAATGGACGAACAATGAAACTGCAAAAAAAAAAAAAAAAAAAAAAAAAAAAAAAAAACGAAAAGAAAGAAAAAAGAGAAAATGTTTGAATGGTTTTTTTTTTTTTTCTGGTTTAATAGACGGGAAAAATAGATTTTTTTTTAATTTATTCTATTATTTTTTTTAACGTTATATTCAAA